TCGTGATAATACATCATTATACAAAGTGGTTGCCCGATGATGAGGCTCGCCCATACGACGATGTTGCCCCATCTGGCGCCGCAGTATCGCTCCGCCATCTTGCTCAACACCGACAGTGGTATCTAGAATGAACAATTAGCGTTGCACGACCGGAATTTCCGTACTTAAGGGCGGACAGGATGGATCTTGTACGCGCATACAAGATGTAGTACGCACCCCTAATTTCATGCAAAGGTCCGAATAATGTTGCGGTATCTGCGAAACCTCTTGAAATCTCCATAAAGCATATTAGTTCAAGTTGTTATATTGTTATGTAATTTAACGCGTATTTAACATAGAATATTCTTTAAATATATTCCCTTATCTAGGAACTTTATAATCTAACGATGATTAATGTACATATAGAAATAAAGCGCGAACTTATAGATTTTATGTTAAGAACAAAAAAATTTTGCAAATTTTTAATTAAATTTTTTTAACATAAAATCGGTAGGTTCGCGCTTTGTTTTTATATGTACTTTAATCGTGAAAAAGCATTTATTATTCTATTCAGCCAATAAAGGAAAAAGATGTGCGAAAATGATGTTTTTATCGATAAAAGGGCGGTATTTAGAATTTTCTTAAGAGTTCGAGTGAATTCTGGTCTATTTCATAGAATTAATCTTGAAATCAGAATGTGTATTGAAACTGTCGGAAGCCGTACAGTTTTTGAAGGATAAACAAGAATTTCTTGACACTAGAGTCAATATTTGCACAGTCAACAATACATAGTCGAAGTAAACGGAAGGAACTCTTACCTGTCCCATCATACCCATGAAGGCCCATATCTTGAACGTTTTCAAAGGTACACTGACGAGATATTCATGGAAGAAAGCGCTGATGAAGAAGACGGTCACCGACGCCGTAGTTTTGCTATAACCCATCTCTACGATTGGAATATAGAGGTGTCTGCAACATAAATATGCCATTCATATAAAATATATCCATTGAATATAAAATATACAAAGTGTTTCTAAATAAGTGCAATATATTTAGGAGATGATTTTTCTCGAAAATTAAGAAGAATAAAGATTTCATAGAAACATATCCCTATATCCCTTCCTGAGGAATTATACTCTTCCAAAGAAGGAAATGATAATTAGTTTCTATTTTTTTATCAAATTTTGTTTTGTTTCATTTTTTCCAACATTTAATATAATTTTTGTTCTACTAACTTCTTTTATTTTAAAATTCAACTTCTCGTTAACTAAAACCTATGCCATTTAGCACGGTGCTGTGCTAGATGAATGTATTATAAATTTTTATTTGAAAACTTAATTTTTACGAAAAAATAAAAAGAAAATAAAAAATTTCTAAATAAATCAAGTTTTTTTTAATGTATTTTTAGATTATCATATTTTGGTCAATTAAAAGTTCTAATAAAAATGTATACATATAGAGATTGTTACTTTCATCCCCTTATAACAATACGGGAAGATTACAAAATATTAATAAATATCTTTTTGTGGAAAATATCCATCAAATTTAATTTCTTCAACTTGTCTAAAATTTGAGAAAAAAAAATTAAAAATCTAATTTTTACCCCTTCTTTGTAGTGTAATTCTTCATAGAGAAATAGAAGTATATACGTTTATATGAAAAACCTCCCTTAATTCTCGAACAAAATCATTCTATATATTCTGTACAAAGATAGAATAAAATGTTTATCTGCAAGTTCGTCACAAAAAAATAAAACGTAGGAGAAAAATGTTTCCTTCTTTCCAGTAATCACTTCTCCAAAAGAATCAGCCACATAGTGCATTCTGGAGCACACATTTGCTCAAATAGAAAACGCTCCAAACAATTCGGTCGATTAAAGGTCCTGATTCTAAAGCTGATAACAAGGAATCCATTTGGAGCACGTTCGCCTATTATGCCGACAATATCATTATCGGCATCACAAAGGGAGAACAGAGACATTTCCACAGTATCCGCGCTCTTAGGTCGTGGAATACACGTTGTTAGACCGATAAGATAGATAAAAAGTATGGATGGTACGGTGACAAAGGCGCGAATTCCGCTCTGAGAAATTAAAGCGAGATATCCGACAGGAAAGTTTCGCCGGATTGGCAACACTTTGCCGTTACCGTTTTCGTTTGTATGACGGAACGAGGAGAAACAGACAACTCGGGGAAAGAATCGTTAGCCGCTTGGTTAAGTTAGATTCGCCGCTTGGTTATCGGCGAAGCTGCATCGGAAAGGAGACGAGAGGATGAGGCGTGGAAAAAGGAGTGCCAGGAGACACAAGGCGGAAGGAAGGAAAGAAAATTCAAAGGTAGGACGACGACGGTTCCGAGGATTTCAGACCGTGCGCGTTTTGCCGCGGTCCCAAGACTCGCTTTTCTTTTTCTCCGAGACGCTCGAGAATATCTCCGCAGTTATAGAGGTATTATAAGTGCCGGAGGGGAATAAACAGCCTTAAGTGCGCGTCGCGATACGTATCGGCTTTTCCCATTACAAACCTGAAAAGACGTCGTCGTCGTCGGCCTCGGCGTTCTCTCGTCAACAACGATACACCTCCGGTGCGTCTAACGTCGTCTGGGGTGCATTTCCATTTTCACCTTCTTTGTATACGTATATACTGTAAGCTGCGTGCCAGTTGCAGCTTATTGCGACTGCAGCTGCGTATCTCGCGAAAAAAAAGAGAAATAAATGACCGTAAGTGAGGCCAGATGCGCGTCGCGAGGAGTAAAAAGGAGAGCGTCGGAAGACTTTGGAATCCGTGTCGCGGAAATTCGCGCGCGACGTCTCTTTTTTCTGCGGGGATCTCATTTTCCTTCTCGTTTTTATAGCATTTAAAAAGAGGACACCGCTGGTCATTTTCACAGTACGTGTCGCGTTTTATAAGGATACGCGTCGCGTTTTATAAGACCGTCTCGTTTTGGTTATGCAGCGTCGTCTAGTTGGGTACCGTTCTGAGTTACGTTTACGACTGTCATGATTAATTCGAGGTACGCCTCTCTTTTATAGAGCGACGAAATTAAACATCTTTGTCACGATGTATATAATTCGCGTTAAATATCAGGACTTTGGTATATCGAAAAAAATAGACATATCTTATATATATAGGTGTAGTTTGTTTCCCAGATTTACTGAATTACCTGTTAATGAGAGATTTCTTAGATTATTTGAGGACAATTTTTGTTAGCGAAATGTTGAGAGAAAGATCATTATATTTTGCAAGCTCCCAATTATTAAAACAAAAAATATTTTTCATTTTTTAATTAAATAATTTTTTTGTTTTTAATTAAATCGGTCTATATGTACTTTAATCGTAGAAAAGTATTTATTATGCTGTTTAACCAATAAAAAGAAAAGAGTGCGCCGATCATCGAAAAAATTGTTTCAATCAACGAGTGATTCGGTCAGTCTGGAACAAACGTATAAAACGTTTAAAAAGATCAGGGTACATATTTTCGTTAATATCTACAATATCTACAAAGTATTCCACGGAAAATTGTTGAAACTAATCAGCTGTCATTTTTTAATACATGCAGTTATTGAGAAAACAAAAATTGTGTTGAAAAGTTAATTTTATCAATTTATTTTATTGATAAAAAAATAACGAAAAAAGTGCTAATAATCACATAAACTAATGATAAATATTTTCAACAGTACCAGATTTAATAGCAGCTATTAAAAGAATCGTCAATGACATTAAAAATGACATGTTAGAAAAAGTTTGTAAAAGTTTTCATAAAAGAACAGAATTTTGACATATGTGATTATTAGCATTTTTAAATTGCTTTTTTCAGTCAAAAAACTGGTATACAAACATTTTATTTATATCCATTAAAACCTGTAGACTTTCCTCTTTTCAACACAATTTTTGTTTTCTCAATAACCTTATGTATTAATAAAAAATGAGCTGATTAGTTTCAGCAATTTCCTATGGGGCACCCTGTACAATATCTAACCTGGCACGAAGAGTAAGTAGATTCTACTACTAATTTACATATGTGATTATTAGCATTTTTAAATTGCTTTTTTCAATCAAATAACTGGTATACAAACATTTTATTTATATCCATTAAAACCTGTAGACTTTCCTCTTTCCAACACAATTTTTGTTTTCTCAATAACCTTATGTATTAATAAAAAATGAGCTGATTAGTTTCAGCAATTTCCTATGGGGCACCCTGTATAATATCTAACCTGGCACGAAGAGTAAGTAGATTCTTTAAGTAGGCTCTTTATGCGACGTTCATGGTGAACGCCGAACAGTTTGTATGTGGCAATTCCGATGGCTCCTCTCTTATCTCTCGGTCACATAATAAGAACTTCGTACGGCCACTTTTACAGGGATTTAAACTTTCTTTTGGGCTACTTTCAAAGTACAAAGAAGCCCGACGCGGGCTCTTGAAAGGAGGCCGTCACTATGGGCTCGAGTTGTTAGGTGCACGTGCGGTGGGTAACCGTATAGAAGATGGAAGGCCCGCTGGAAAAGTCTTTCGGAAGTTCGCTGATTGTATTGAGCGTGGGATGTATAATCTAATGTGGTGACGACAGCCGAGATGTATGGGTTGAAGTAGACATTTTAGGCGGAATAAAAGGTTTTCATACGCGAGAACTCATTCTTGTAAAAGAAGAAAGAACACGCATGTTTCTATATAAAAAAAAATTCTTCCTTCTATAATAAAAATTGATACATGCACAAATTGCTGTTGCAGTTTCGATAATATAAAAAATTCGAATAGATAATAATATATATCTAAAATAAATTTTTATTTTAATCTACAAATAAAAAGGCAATAAGAGCTAAATAAGTTCTATACTAGAATTATATTTGTGAAAAATTTATAACATAAATTATTAAATATTATACAGAAGTAAATTCGGTTCGACGAGCGCATCAATTAAAAATTAAAATATTAGTAGAAATTAACAATAAATTATTCATCACTGTCATTATAATAAAAATATACGAAGTCAAGTTATATGCTAACACCCGAGATCAACGCATTTATAAAGCACGAGCATTTTTTAGTATATATTCTATTCCTCACAACGTCACAATTATATGTAATTGTCGCGAAACAGATCTCTCGCTAATTGTTCTGTTAGGAGGTCGGTTGCGAATCTCAATAACAGCCATTGTTAATATGTAGTTAAATCGAGTAAGATGTTATATTGTGACGTAGAGGCTTACAGATGTTAATAACTCGAGGTAACAATAACGTATGCAATTTTTTATTTATTCTACAGAATTTTTAATCGAACGGGTTTGTTATAGAGACAAATGGAATTCTGCAATTTGAAAAATTTAATAAAATTAAGACTCCTGTGTACACAAAAAAGTTGGACAGCTCGTGCGACATGACATCATTTTCCTTCTTTCGCCTGGTGTTTTTTACGTAATTGGTAAGGACGCACTGGCGTTACTAAGGCGATACACGGAGTGTTTCGCGTTGAAATGACGGTCATAGCTGCGAAATAACCTCAGCGAGACGCGTATTGCGTTATTACATAATCATGTTACCCCCGACACAGGTCGGAGTCAAAGGTGTAAAGTGCGCGGAGTAAAGCGTCGAAAGTTTTTCCTTCTTCCGGAGCAAAAGCTACGCGAGAGGCCCGAGTATTACGAAGCATAGAGAGATGGCGAGAGGGTAAATAGCGCAAGAGGGTGCGAGAGAGAAAGAGTGACAAAAGGGAGAAAGAGAGAAGGTAAAAGAGATGAAGGCCGTCGCGACTCGCTACATGCCGGACCTTTCATCGACTCTTCCTCTGTTCTATCTAACCAGGGTTAAACTTCGTTAACAAGTATGCCCTGCTTTAAGAAGATTTAATTACATTTCTCGCGAATATCTGGCATCCCCGTCTGATCTGACGGGGAAAGAAAGAGAAGTTTCCGTGAATCGGAAACGTCTAACCGCATGCACTTCCTGCGAATCTGATTGCTTCGCGGTTAAGTTTCGCAATTGTGTTAAGTCTTGCTCGATTCGTAATAATAAATGGCGTTTTGGATCTCAGCTCGATTATAACTCGATGATATCCAACCTCCACGCGAGTTTTAATAAATTATCGTTCAGATAAATCTTTTAGCTTAATTATAAGTATTTTTTTTTAAACTTAATCACATTAAGAAAATGCTAGTTAGGTCTGTTTTATCGACACATATTATTTTTATTTAACTCTTTATTTTGGGCTATTATATCTGGGTTATTATATGTGTATATAAAAAGAAACCAAGAAAGTTAAATAATTACAGCTTTTCTATTTCGGTTTTTTTCATTGGGTTAATCTAATCTAAACCATAAGGAAAGTGTTAAATGAGAATAATATTTGTCGATAAAACAGATCTAGTCAATAATTTCTATAAAGATGATAACAATTGCTTGATACCAAAATATATCTGTCTTTATCAATCAATTATATAATTTCAAGAATAATCCCTCAACAACCCAAAGTGTGAAAACTGAAGAACCTCTAGGAATTCTCTCGTTTCATATTTAAAATTAAACTTATAAATATTACTTATTATTTTTTTTTTTTTTATTATTAAACTCGAAACTTATATTAGTAGCCAAAAATAAAAATAGCTAATATTGAACGTTGCTATAAATAAAAACTCGTTTCACTCACCTCACAGCCCAACGATGCACCGGCATGTTCCAAGTTCGCCAAAAGGTATCGATGTTGTTTGCGTTCCACCAATCGCAATAAAAATTGCGATCCGCGAAATGCAGCAATTCACCCATCAGGTTAAAAAGGGAGTGAAATGTCAAGTAGAAAAAACAAAGCCACACTAGATGATTCGGTATCTGGAACACCAATAAAGATTTTCTATTTATTATATATATATATATATATATATATATATATAAGTATCAAACTCTCTCTCTCTCTCTCTCTCTCTCTCTCTCTCTCTCTCTCTCTCTCTCCCTCTCTTGCACAACAATATCGCGTAATTTATGACTGAATTAAAAGAAAAACTGACTGATTGCGAAAAAGTTGTTTTGCGTGCCAAGAATAGAAACGGATTCTGCTTGATTAAAAAGGATTACTTTAATATTTTATAAGTTCGAAATCTCACTTGTTCCGTTTCAAAAATAAAGTCCCAGTTGTAAGACAAAAATAATCAATTTGAAATATATTGCTAAATTGAGAACATAATTTCCTATTTCATACGAGATTCACAAATATGTTCAGAGAGTTATTTCGAGAGTACAATGTAAATTTTTGGAGTGCAAGTATTGGAAAATTCACGTAATTTTAGGAGTAATCATTTCTTAATTTCTATAATATTCACGAGAGAGAAGAAATATTTCAAACGTGTAAATGTTATAATTGTATTATTCTTAAATAACCAACAAGTTCTAATTATAAAATATTATAAATAAGCAATATACAAAATAAGATTATTCAAAATTAAAAAATTATTTATTAAAAAAAAGTAATATGCAATTTCAGATTTCTTTATATTTCATTTTATATTTTATCATGAGTTTGCATAAAAATTTCTCATAAAATTCGCGAATGAGAAACACGTGTAAAAGCGAAAAATGTAACCGAAGCGTATAAAAGTGTCACTATTAATGGAAAAGTGGAAGAAGATCGAAGTTCTCTCTCTCTCTCTCTCATTCTCATTATATGTAATATTTTTTAATAGACTGAACAAAATGTAATAGCTCGGAGATGACGTCGGAAAAAATTAACTGAATTGAGCATGATCGACGTGCAAAGAGAAAGAAAGATGTATTGCGGTATTATTTACGCACCTGCAGATGAAAATGAGGCAACACTATGAACTTATAAAGTATATCGTCTATTCCTTTAATTATGCCTTAATGGAAGTAAGTAACTTAAACCGAGTCTTTGATCATTTATCGCGTACTTATATATATTATTATACATAATATGACGCGGCTCTAAAAGTTTTTATCAATTTCCTTAATAATCCTCCCTCTCTTAATGTCATTGCGAAAGAAAAGATATAGTATCTTATATATACCGCCATATTATGTCACTTCTTTTATCTTTTACCTCAAGATTAAGATTGATTATTTTCTTCTATATCGCGACGTGCCTCGTGGCGAAACGACAACCAAAATAAATGCTTTTGCGTCAAAGGGACGAGAGCGACCGAGGAGAAAAAAAAAGTAAAAATATGGGCTCGATCTAACGTCACAGACGAATACTTCGGGAAAATTTCTCTCAACTTTCATGGGAAAGAATTTCGAAGTAGTTTCGTTTCGGATGCCATTTCGGGGACCGCACGAGCATCATCCACGTGTTCTTCTACAGAGCTTTCTTTCTCTCTCACACGAGGCAAAAGACTTAATAATGTTGCCAAGCACAAAGGTCAAGTCTCTTGCGCCGCAAGGCATCCGCACTTTCACGAAAAAAGAACAGAGGCCCTTCAGCACTTCCTCCCGTTTCCTATAGCAGCCTCTTCCGGCATAGTCCGGGAAAACTTACCTCGGCGTTTTAATTTCGTTTACTTGGGGATGCTACTGTAGAAGAAAAAGGAAAGACAGAGACGGAATTGGAATTTACGAAAGAACGAAGGAAATGACGAGGGAAGGAAATAGAGGAAGAGGCAGATCCCCTAGAAGCCAGTGAATCGTTTGAGACACGTCGACGATACCACAAAGGGAAAATCGGTAAACTTTAAGCTGTCTCTTCGGCCAGAGGCTATCTAAAAGAGAACTTCCTCTCTTCAGGGAGTTATACTGGAAATGTAAAATCTTGGCCGATCAAACGGAATATGTATGTGTATGGCATTTCGCCGATAGTAAGTAAGAAGCTTTGAAGGCGGAAAAATATTGATCTCGAGAGATGATCCAATTCTTCAGATTCTTGTCTATATTTTATATGTTGTCGAATTTTGCCAGCTTCATCTCTTGCTACTGGTAACTTTTATTTATAGTTCAAATCTTTGTATATATATATGTATCGATTGTTTTGGATTCGTAAAGCTTTTGGGAAAATTCAAAAGAAATCACTCATTTTGGGCTCAATTATTAACGTGTATAATTTTGTAGATATTAATGGTAATATTAAAAAAATTAGTTTTGGATCTTTTAAACCCTCGTCGGAAGTTCTGACTTAATAATGTCATTTATTCGTTTGACGACTCATCATCAGAGCTGTCTAAGATAACAACTAGGCCATTGTGCTCTGGAAGTATCTGTATACCTTCTGAAAGATATTTAGCATCAGCAGTTTGTTATTTAGACTTCGCAACACACACTTGAAATGTCGAGAAGAAGAACTTATTAAAACGATAATGTAAGTTGAAAGATTTTTTAATTTTCTCTGATATTAATTTAATTCGCGTAAAATATCCACAGCATGATTAAATGTCGCAAAACTTGGAATCTCAGACCAATCGTCTTAATCATCCATTGGTCATCAGCGAAGAATCGTTTAATTTTGTATTTTAATATTTAACTAACTTTGTATTTTAATATTTAATTTTGTATTTTAATATTTGATTTTTATGTAAAAGACTGTAGTGCAGTCGAAATATTTAGCATCTCCTAGATACCAAATAACACTGATATTGAAACAACAGCCTATATAGGTACATCATTTTTATATCTAAGGCAAAAAGAAATCTTTAGGAAAGAATAAATATAAAAAAACAAGAATTCTAAGAATCATGTTCTATCATAAAAAAAAAGTCATCAGTTTGCTACTAGCGTCAAAGCATGCCTAGATAACAAAATGAATACACTTTATACACCAATATCGATGGCGTTCTAACATTGATCAGGTGCTTTGGACATTGGCATCAGTAACTTTTCAATTCCCTCATGATACCTTACAGGTTGGTATATACAGGCTGCTTCAGAACTAGCAGAAAAGTTTTTAATGGCAGATTCCTGGTATCATTCGGAGACGATTTTTCCTCAGCGAAAATGTCGAGACACCAATAATTTTCGAATTATAAGTAGTTGAAAATAAAGACTTATTTGGAAACTAAGCCTTTTGGAAATAAAATATTAACAGAACTACATTCTTCAGTTAATAGAGTTTTAATATAAGGCTTAGTTATAAAAATATATAATAGTAAAAATTAGGAACATGCTAAAAATGATGCCTCCCTCAACATTTTCACTAAGGAAAAATCGTCTCCAAATGATACCAGAAATCGGACATTAAAAACTTTACCGTCAGTTCTGAAACACCCTGTATATATGTTTCCTCTCTGGATTCGGAGAATCTAGAAATTTCTATAAAAATATTTTCATAATGCAAATGTATTTATATATACAGGGTGTCCGGTAACTAACGGACCAACAATTACAAATGGATTCTTTGGTCAATTTGGGAATGATTTTTCCTCAGCGAAAATGTCGAAAAAGGTCATTATTTTTTACAACTTTCCAATATTTGTCATTATGTATCTTTATAACTAAGCCTCAAATTAAAATTTTATTATAGTAAACTCTACCAGAAATTTACTGAAGAATGTAATTATGTTAGACTTTTAACTTCAAAACGTTTAATTTTCAAAAAACCCGAAAAGGAGAGGAAAAATCGTCTCCAAATTGGCCAAAGAATCCGCCCTTAATCATTGGTCCGTTAGTTACCGGACATCCTGTATATACTCCGTCGCTGTAATACAGCTCTTTTCCATCTTAAAGAAACTCGAAATCAGAAATTGACTTTTTTTCGCCAAGTCGTATACAGATTATACATCGATACGCGGAAGATCTAATATTTAGATCAGCAAAGAGTCTACAAAACGACGTGCGCGAATTGCGCGAACAGGAAAGCGTTCATTCATATTGATGCGCAGCTCAAACATCGATGTTTGAGCCCAAGAAACCAGCAATATCGTTCGATTCGTGCTTGATCCCATCACCGGCTGCATAACATTAATGCGTGCTTGGCTTACGTGTACCATATCCGGTAGTCGATTTTCATCGATAATGCAAGAATATCGAATTACAAGGCGCGGCGCAGGATTTTGCTACATACGCGTATCGATACGCGATATAAATCGACCGTATCATTAATAGTCGTTGGGAGAAAAAAATGCTTACGAGAATATATAAGTCGTCTTGCCTAACCGCGTGCATCGCATTAACTTGGTAATCGATATTTTCCATTTTCCTCTCGATCAGTCGTGTGCTTGTATGTGTGTGTGTGCGTGTAATCCTTCCTCATCTTCTTCTTCAACTGCCATCCTAACTTCTTTCTTCCTAACTTAAAAGCGCTCGACGCTATACCTGTCTATTGGAGACTACACTTGCTAGGTCTCTTAGGGCATTAATATATGAAAGAGATAACCCGGTAATAATGGTTGGGATAGAGAATGTAAATACGGAGCGGATTGAATCTTTTAACTTTATCGAAAGAGCCCAGGTATATTGACCCGCGAGTAGAAAGAGAGCGAAGCTATATTTCAGGAATAAGTATGCAAATGTTGAATAATCGAACTTTCCTAAACTATGCGCAGAGAAAAAAATCTCAGTACCGGGGAGATATAGATATCGATCGACCGGTGAATATTTGATGACTCTTCCATGTATATATCTCACTATCGAAAAATATAATGTAAAGAGATATTTACCTCTCTCCAGCTACCGATCAACCTCTGGTGATCCAACTACGTGTCCCCTATCGTCCTATACGTTAAACATATGTAACATCCATTATCTCGGTGTTTACTGACGCGCAAATATCTTCCGCACCGTCGGGAATTACACGTCGAAAATTAGATCGTGTATCCATCGCAGTCTTTGCGCACCCAATCGACAGGTGAAAGCGACCACGACGATGTCGTTATAATCGTCGTTTTGTACACCTC